CCTTGGAGGTTCGGCCATGTAGGTGTAAATTTGAGATTTATTTTCCTAAATTTTCTTTCTCATTTTATAACACTCCCTTAGGTTGTTTAGAGGCTAGTTCAATCGTCGTTTTTCCGTTTTTCGACATTTACGCATCGTTTTGCGAAATATTTCATTCTGGGCTCATTTAGGTCTATAACACAATTCATTTTTTTCCATTGATTCAAACACTCTCCAAGCACAACACAACCCATCTAAGCACCATATAACTACACAAATCATTATCCAAATCATTTTTCAACATCAATTCCTCAATCTTTCCTCAAAGAATCGAATTTTAACCTATGGCATTCCAAGGAATTTCCATACAACTTTAATCATTCCAACCATCACACAACCTATTATATCCTCATACCATCATGCCACCATTCATCAAACAAGTCTCAACAACAAAATTCACAAATTCCAAAATCATGATCATCAATTTTTCTAAGTTAAAAATCATCACATTTCACTTAAAATTTTCATTGCATTTCTAGCATTACTACATCATTTTAAGGCATTATCATCTAATAGACATTTTCCATTTGAGCTCTCTAACACAACACATCATCAAATCAAGCTTTAGGTTTCCAAAAATTCAATCACAATTAAACCATGAAATGTTGAAATAACTCACCCAAATGCAAGGCAAATGACTCCTCCTAGGTATACTCCACAATTGGAGCATTCAAAAAGCTCCATGGACAACCATTTTTTCTCCAAAAGTGGCCACGAATGGCCAATATCTCCCCAAATACACGGTTTCAAGGCTCAAGAGTAGTACCAATGTGTTTAGAAGGTTGTTTCCAACAAATTTCAACACAAAAATCACTTGATTTGGTTAAGAAATGATCAAGTTATGGTGAAAAGAAAATTTGAATGCAAATGGGGTTTTTGGGGGAGGGGGCTGCGGGTTTCATGAAGAAGAAGGGAGGAAAGTGATGCATGAATAGTGCCAAGCACATGTGGCTTAAGTCACTTAAGTGGGGTGGGTCCCACCGCCACCTCACGCGATTTAAAACTAATCCGAATTTTCCTCCGATTCCACTAAACGTCCGTAAATTCACAACCTATTTAGAAACTCAAATTTTTAACATTAACTATTCCCCTTTAATTAGGCTTGATCAGATGAATTAAGAGTTCTCCATTCGTTCGGAGAAAACACTGTTTTAAGCTATTACGCGCGCCATTGGCACGCTTCCCCAAACTGTCTTAATTTCATCGAATATTATAAGAAATCATATTTCCTAACTCATTAGACCATTTTTAACTCATATTTGAAACCTAGAGCTCAAAATTCAACTGGCACGTTTTACGGTGCAATCGTAACGCGATATTTTTACCCGCGAAAACACTATTCACTGATTTTTCTGAAACTTGCCCATCCACTCAATTTTTCGTTCTGAACCCATTTCCAGGGTTATTTTTACCATATGAGACCTTCTACTCAATTTTTATCTTCCTAGGGTTGCGTGTTGGCTAATTACCGTTTTGCCCTTTCTTTGTATTTTGGCCAAATCTTTAGGATTTTCACTAATCCATCACTTGATTGCTCACTTAATATTTTAATTACTTGATTTAAAATCGTGAGGTGTTATAACATCCTCCATACCCAGGTAAATAATTCAAACATTTTCCAGATTCAAGAAATATACCCGGGTATCTTCCTCCCTACCCAGGTAGGTAAAAAATTTCAAAATATACCCGAGTAGGGAGGGTGATACCCGGGTAGGCTTGATGGTCAACGGTCAAACAGGGGCAGATTGGTGTTATTTGAATTCTTGTATCCATAATTCAAAGGAGAGGTTAACTTTTTGAAATAGTTTATAATCAAGGTCAATTTGATAATTAATTATTACATAAGGGCTACAATGGTCAAAAAGCCCAGAAACAACATATCAAACCTATAGGAATTATAATATGGGGGAAAATATGTGTAATTTTAAATGACTATCTATTTACTCTGATTTTTAAGTATAACAAAATATAAAATTCAGAAAGAATGCAAATTATAATTTCAATGATATAATACATCTTCAGCACATTCGCATGCAATGCTATTTGACACGCGTACAAGACAAATATATATACATGAAACTCCATAAACTATTTCTTGATATTCTATTAACGGGTGGCATCCCCGTCAAAGGACACAAGGGTCATAGTAACCATTGTTAGGCGAAAATGTTGGTTATGCGGCAAGATGCTATATTCTCGCTGTTATATCTTCCAAGTTCCTCTCAGTTCTTAAGGAATTGCTGGCCTCACTGGCCACCACCACCAACGTGAAATATATATTAAGGTACTTTTAACCAAAAATAAAATAAAATTTGTCTTTACTTTCTGCGTTAGTTGCTCTGTCCCCTTAAGAGTGAAAGTGATGGGTCACTAGAGGGGGCTGCAAAAATTGCACAAGACTCCGTATATCATAAAATGGCCGAAGTATGTGTGGAATATTATTTCTATATACTTTGATTAAAAGTGGGTGCAAATGAGATTGACAGAAGAATAGGCATGCAATGAGGATATGAACAGAAGCATGATTGGAACTCACTGTTCACAAACACATATAACGTCATGAGTGCATAATTGCTTCAATTCCAGCTGCTGCTAGCTCTCGAGTCTTTGAGTACTTGTTGGGGAGACATAATGATCGAATAGTTTCACTTTATTTATTATTATTTCTTTCTCGGTTAAAAAGGGAATTCATCAAATGCTCAAAAAGGAAAATAGCACATCCCCAATATATGAATGCAAATCAGGAAGATATAAATATAGTTATACAAACGCCTGTAAGGTCAAAATATCTGGTTCTTCGTTTAGTGTCATGAAATGAAATAGTTCAATATTTACGTGTGTGTTTAAGATTTGTGTACAAAAATTTGCTTCCCAAGAAATATGGTGCAACTCAACATGCTGCATGAGCATCCTACAATTTAAAAGGCGGCTACGATAATACGATTGATGACGTCTTAGTCTTTCTCAAGTTTCGTATCATCAGAAACTTCAAGGAAAATCAAAAATTTCTGTCTAGCATAACATGATATGTTGAAGTTCTATATTGCATCACACTAGAGGGGATATTCTTATTATCAAAAAAATTCACTATCAACTCATTACCTATTTAATTACTATTGAATTAGCGAGGGAGAATGTTAAAAAATTTCTGAATAGAGAAAAAATGTCCAATAGTAGTTAGATAGGTAGTGGGTTGGTAGTAGATTTTTTTGATAATAAGAATATCCCCCCTCCATACTTAAATGCATATATTATTTTAATAAATTATTAATTTATTATTTGTTTATATAATATAATTTAGATTTATATGTTTATTTTTTTTTTACCGTTTGATTTCATTTGCTTATTATTTTGATAAAATATTATTATTATTATAAATCTTGTATAGATTGTGATTCGATAAATTCATCAGCTTTATTGTTCGGTTAAAATATATTTTATAGGTTGTCAAGTCTTGTTATAAATTTAATTATTTTCTCATTGGGTTGCATTGTAATTCACCCAAATCATCATCATATATATTTAGATAAAGACAAGAAGATCGCCTCTGGGACCATCCATCCAATTTGATTGAGTAAGTTTCATTGCTTATAGTTGTGAGTTTGACACTTTATTGTGGACATAAAAGTTTAAATAATAAATTATTATTGGAAAAAGTGTTTATTCTTTTCAATGAAACAACTTATGTCATTTTACTTTTAGAAAGAGGTGGGACCCACACTTTAATTTTTTTTTGTCCACTCTTTTTCCCCGTAATTTATCTCTTTCTTTCACTTAAAATAATACAACCTTACATCCTTTGAAATGATATACTCTTTTCTCATTATTATTATGTACTTTTATTGTTTCATAGTGGTGAGTCTGACACTTTATTCATGTGAGCATAAAAGTTTAAATAATAAGTTGTGAACAATCATTATATTCTAGAATTGCTCTATTATTTCTACAAGTGGATTACTTTGTAAACTTGATAAACTTTATAAGTGTGTGTATTATATATATGGGAAAATTGGGTGTCTAGTCATAGGATATAAGATTTTGTCTAGTCACCCCCTTTTAACTATGTACTCGAGGAGTACATAGATATAATATTAAAGTTTTCTTTTTATTTTTTTTTGAAAATCTTTTCATGTGTGTGTGTGCAGGAATATATTTTCTCTTTATGCACAAAAAAAGTGGGTGGGACCATTTATTTTCTTTCTTTCTCTCTCTTTTTCGTAGTGAGTCCCACCCACTTTTGGCACATGGGATCTGGTCCCTCTTCGTCTGGAAAATCTGTTGTTGGTTGCCGCAGGATTTATGCTATTAAGGTTTGTCCTGATGGTCAAGTAAATCGCCTTAAAGCTCGCTTATAGCAAAGGGTTTCACTCAAGTGTTTGGACTGGATTTTGGTGACACTTTTTCTCCAGTGGCAAAGATGTCTATTATTCGCCTCTTTATTGCCATGGCTGCTATCTGTCACTAGCCTCTCTATCAACTTGATATTAAGAATGCTTTTCTTCATGGTGATCTTGCAGAAGAAGTTTATATGGGGCAACCTCCTGGATTTATTGCTCAGTGGAAGTCAGGTCTTGTTTGTAGTCTTCGCAAGTCTCTATATGGTCTCAAGCAATCTCCAAGAGCTTGGTTTGGCAAATTCAGCAGTGTTGTTCAATAATTTAGTATGACTCGGAGTGAAGCTGATTATTCTCTCTTTTATCGTCATTCAGCTTCCGGGCCTATCTACTTGGTGGTATATGTGGATGATATTGTCATCACGTGTAGTGATAATCATGGGATTACTCAGTTGAAGCAGCATTTATGTCTTCATTTTCAGACCAAGGATCTTGGAAAACTTTGATATTTCTTGGGAATTGAAGTGGCCCAATCTAAAGATGGAGTTATGATATTTCAGAAGAAATATGCTCTGACTATTCTTGAAGAGACTTTTTTGTTAAATTCTAAGTATGTTGATACCCCATATGGATCCAAGTGTCAAGCTTCTACCAAATCAGGGGGAGCCCCTTTCAGATCATAAGAGGTATAGAAGATTGGTTGAAAAGTTGAACTACCTCACCGTCACTCGACCTGACATTTCATTTGCAATTAGTGTGGTAAGTCAGTTTCTTAATTCTCCATGTCAAGAACATCGGAATGCCGTTATTCCTATTCTTAGGTATATCAAGGCATTTCTAGGAAAATGCCTTAATATGAAGATAAAGGTCATGTTAAAGTTGTTGGATACTTTGATGCTGATTGGGCCGGTTGTCCTACTGATAGGAGATCTACTAGTGGATATTGTGTCTTCGTTGGAGGCAACTTGGTTTCCTGGAAAAGTAAGAAGCAAAACGTAGTTTCCTGATCAAGTCCTGAAGTAAAATACTGCTTCATGGCTACTACTACTTGCGAGCTCATTTAGCTTAAGCAGCTTCTCAGAGAGCTCAAGTTTAGAGACACTAGACCTGCACTGTCATTTGTTATAACCAAGCAACACTACACATTTCTTCCAATCCAGTATTTCATGAAAGAACCAAGTATATCGAAATAGATTGTCACTTTGTTCGATTAAAGGTCCTTGCTGGTGAAATTATAACTAGTTTTGTACCCTCTAATGATCAATTAGCAGATATATTTACAAAGGCTTTGAGAGGTCCTCGAATAGAGTTTATATGTAACAAGCTTGGTACTTATGATCTATACGCTCCAGCTTGAGGGGGAGTGTTGGAAATAATATCTTTAAATTATCTTTATTATTTGTAAATATATATTTATTTCATTAGGATTTATGTTAGGTCTGGGCTCAGCCCATTAGTATTTCTATATATTGTAGACTCGTGTATCAAATCAATGTACAAATTTATTTTTCAATGTTACTTTCGTCTCTTATTTCTCTACATTTCCCTTAATCGAATGCCTCAAATTTGAGTCTTAGAAATAAAAATAATAATTTTATGAAAACTGTCCTGCCTCCAATATAAGTTTGACAGTGATCAAATTGAAATAAACCATTTTGGAATATATATATATATATATGTATATATATATATATATATAATTATTAAGTTTTAATGTTTCTGTATTTGTTGCAGAAAGAAGTTTTCTGCCACACTCACATAAAAATAAAGTGGGTTTCACTAATCTTTTCTCTCTCTTCTCTTTACAATAGAATTCACTCACTTTTATGTGCGTGTGACAGAAAAAAATTTATGCGATAAAAGCATAAACATTTTTCCCAATCATTAATGAATTGAATTGATGGTTTACATATTATATTTTCGATAACAACTCTTCTCTATATCTATCCTGATGCACTTACAGTTGGCCCATTGTACATGGCCAAACCATTAATTCAAGAAACTCGTATTCAACTAGAGTTGTGGCCCAATAAGTATGACCCAATTGTTGAAAGAGGCAATGATTTGAAATATAACAAATTACAATCGAATCAAAGTCCCAATAAAGCAGCAGATGTGATTGTGATTTGTTTGGGAAGAAAATGAAAGCAACATATTTGGCGTGATTTGTTAATTGAAATTGAGAATCGGAGGGTTACTCTTTTGATAAAATTCTAACTTTCTGTTTGGTCACTTTTCTATGCGCTTTCGGCATCATTTGGTATCAGAGTACTAGGTTGCCTTCAACCAATGGCTGAACAGAATCGTGGAGGTCGACGACGGCGGAGTCACGAGGGTAGAAAACGTGGATTCATTCCTGAATAATATAGACAACTGCGTCAGATTGACCCGCGAGATATAGAAAATGAAGAGCTCAGAAGGCGGATCCAGGATTTGAAGCAACAACTTGAGCAAGCGTTGGACAAGAAAATCCAAGTTTTGAAGCGACTATGTGTGCTGGCACAGAGAAAGAGAATTCAAGATTTGGAGCGACGACTCGTGCGAGTATGCATGAAAATTCAAATTTTGAAGCAAACTCTCGTTATAACACCTCACAATTTTAAATCAAGTAATTAAAATATTAAGTGAGCAATCAAGTGATGGATTAGTGAAAATCCAAAAGATTATGCCAAAATACAAAGAAAGGGCAAAACGGTAATTAGCCAACACGCAACCCTAGGAAGATAAAAATTGAGTAGAAGGTCTCAGATGGTAAAAATAACCCTGGAAATGGGTTCAGAACGAAAAATTGAGTGGATAGGCAAGTTTCAGAAAAATCCGTGAATAGTGTTTTTCGCGGGTAAAAATATCGCATTACGATTGCACCGTAAAACGTGCCAGTTGAATTTTGAGCTCTAGGTTTCAAATATGAGTTATAAATGGTTTGTTGAGTTAGGAAATATGATTTTGATGAAATTTGATGGAATTGAGTCATTTTGGGAAAAATTGATGAATAGTGATTTTCCTGTGTAAAAATACTGCGGTATAATTGTACCGATAAGCGTGAAAATTTTATCAGTATTTTTAGGAAACAAAAATATGTCATGAACCAGAAAAATACGTAGATTATGGATTTGTAGTTGAAATTGATGATTGGATTAAAGTTAAATCGCGTGTGGGACCCATCCCACTCAAATCCACTTAAATCACCTCACTTTTCCTCACAACTCACGATCTTCTCTCTCTCCTTCCCTTCTTCTTCACGCATGACAGCCCCTCCACCACCATCATTGTGCAAAATTTTCAATTCACCATAACTTGGTCGTTTCTCCACCGAATCCATCGATTCTTGTCTTGAAATTCGATGGAAATCATCATCCGAACCCGTTCCACCGATTAGTTTCCCTTGAAACCCTCTCTTTGGTGAGTTATTGCCCATTTACAGCTGCGAATTTTTGGAGAAATTTGAGGTTCATGGAGTCATTTGAGCTTCCATTGTTTGGAGGAGTCTTGGGGTAGCATCAAGCCTTGGTTGTGAGTATATTTCCATCCCATTTACATGGTTTGATTGTAGTTTATTTTCATGAACCCTACACCTTGATTTCGTGATTGGTGATGTTAGAGAGCTCAATTGAAAAATGTGTATTAGATGATAATGTCTTAGAATGATGTGTTAGAGCTAGAAATGCCATGAAAATTATTGGTGAAAATATGGATTTTTAACTTAGAAAAATTGATGATCATGACTTTGGACTTTTGAATTTTGGTGTTGAGACTTTGTATGATGAATTGTGGCATGATGGTATGATGATATAATAGGTTGTGTGAAGGTTGGAGTGATTAAAATTGAATGGAAATTCCTTGGAATGTCATAGGGTAAAATTCGAACCTTTGAGGAAAAATTGAGAAATTGATGTTGAAAAATGAATTGGATGATGATTTGTGTAGTTATATAGTGCTTAGATGGGTTGTGTTGTGGTTGGAAAGTGTTTGAATCAATGGGAAAAAATGAATTGTGTTTAGAGACCTAAATGAGCCTACAGTGAAATATTTCGCAAAACGATGCGTAAATGTCATAAAACGGAAAAACGACGATTGAACTAGCCTCTAAGCAACCAAAGGAAGTGTTATAAAATGAGAAAGAAAATTTAGAAAAATAAATCCCCAAATAACACCTATATGGCCGAACCTCCAAGGAGAAAAGGGGGGATTTTGCGGTTTTCGCGTTCTGATGTAATCCGACGCGAAAATGACGAACCGGCACTTGAATTGGCCTATTGACAACCTAATGAGGCGTAACAAAATGAGAAAGAAAATTTAGAAAAATAAATCTCAAATTTACACTTGAATGGCCGAACCATCAAGGGAGGATGGGGAGGATTTTTGTGATTTTGCGTTTCGATAATATTTGACGCGTAATGATGGATGTACGTAATTGTATAGGTTGCCGTACGTTGACTTGAACCCCGAAACTTGAATCTGGGAGTTACCCTTGGTCTTGGACCAAGTGGATTGAGGTATGTATTTAGTTCAAGGCATGTATAATTGTAAATGAGCATGCATTGTTTGAATTATAAGAGATTGGGAATGTCCTCTGTGTAGGCATTCCGCTGTATACCAAGTTGTGGGATAAGCTGCTGCGGAGCTAGTGAGGAAATTACTTAAGGTAACCTCTTGGTACTGGGGCTTGTTCCCATTTTCTGTTCCACCTTGCCAGTTCATGGCAACGGTAGGAAGTGTGTATGAATAGTATAGAACACATGAGCATGCATGCATTATTGCTATGGGTACTGCGGTACCGAGTCTCTGGCCAGTAGACAGTTTTATTAGCCTTCGGGCATTTTCGGACTTCCGCTGGATAGGTCTCCAGGAGGGAGTTCCAGTTGACTGCGTGTCATAGTGTGTGATCCGGGTAGGAGCACACTAGGAATGTCTTTGGCGTTTTGGGTCGTTTGGGCATCATGGTTGTGGTTTCTGTGAACACACCTTGGATGATACCCATAGGCTTATATATGCCCAGGGCGTACGTGGAATTGGGGTTACCATCCCGTATCGTCGTAGTTTGTTTCTTTATATTCCTCATTTCTCTAAATCCCTTGCTATATCTTGTTTTCAAAGTGGTTGTTTTATTCTATTGATATGCATCGAAGTGAACCAATGGGTGGAGTTTTCTCCAGAACCTCTTGGTTACTGAGATATATTCGTATATCTCACCCTGTCTCGGGGCATTTATTTCAGGATGTACCTGTAGCGTTGGAGCAGCGGGCAAGAGGCCCGCAGGGTGATAGAGGAACATTTTCAGTATTTGGCATATTGTTCATGTTGGCATGCCTAGGTCTAGCAGTTTGTATCATTTAAATTTATGTCTAAATTTGTAATTGGTGTTATAATATTGTAAAAGGCAATTTGAAGTTAAAGTCGTAAGTTGTAATATTTAAGTGTATGTTGTAAATGTAAGAGAGGCATGATGTACCAAGATGGAAGGATTTTAGGCCTATGTTAGAGTTATGATTACATGATTATATTGTGAAACTACATGTGATGGGACCTATGTGATTGAAACAAGTAAGAAATATAATGTGAGCTCTATTGTATAAACTGTGTAATAACTATAAACTGGATTGGGTTGTAAGTGCCCCAAGGCGTTGTTGGTCCTTGTGTGTGCCACCCATTGGATTATTGCTGTATTATCATTTTATTAGGTACATTTGAGGTTTAAATGATCGTTTACAATTTTGGGATTATTGGAAAAACAAAGGAAACTCTGGCGAAATTTCTGTAGAATTGGCAGATTTTAGGCGGACTTCGGGAGAGCATATCTCCTTCCATAGAGGTCCAATAGGGACGTGCCATACGCCATTTTGAAGGTTGAGATGTCCTCTACCTTGTGTCAAAATTTGAGGAAATTATGGGTTGATTTTCGGCCTGAAAAAAATAGACAAACACGGACTGCTCATGTGCCCCTGCACCTGAGGCAGATTCTGGACCGGATTTGGGAAATTAATCCCGCTTCGTTTCTCAGTAAAATTAAGCATATGATATGTCAAAATGAAGTTTGATATGTCTAGTTTGTAGGATAACAATTTGAGAGCAAATGGTTGAATGGATTGAGTGCAGTAATTCGAGTAAGGTGAGTGGTTTGGAGCTGTTTTTGGGGTTGTTTGGCTATTCGCTGATCCAGATCTAATCTGAGAAGAAAGTTTGATTGCAAACAGTGTGGTCGCAAAAAAATTAAGAGTGAAACATGTCCGAATAGGTAAAAACGTAAAGTTTGGAAATTGGTTGAGTGAGTTTATGGGAACTCCTTAGTATCTTATAATAAGTAATGTGAGTTATAAAAATAGTTTAAATAAGTCTTCCGCAAGAGTTTACAGTTGC